TTCAAACTAACAAACCATATAGAAGAAAAGCGTATATCTACAAGAATATATTTACTTCAAGCATGATGAACAGACGCATTAAAATGTCTATCTGTAAGTGAACAATGTTTGACTTGGCAATAGTCTTGGTTCCTAAATGCATCTCAAAAGGTGAGACGGTAAGAAATTAGAAAAATAATTGAATGATTAACCATCTATTTGATTACTTACATTGATTATTAGTGGAAACATCTTTCTATTAACTTTGATAAAGTTTGCAAAACTAGCTGGTTATCGACACAAATTGCGATTAGAAAATTCTTCTACTAACATGGATTTTGGCTATTCACTATATGACTAAAGAGATGTGTTCATGAATATGAAGCATCTCTAAACTACAACAGTATTTAACAAGAAATAACCACCAAGAAAATGGAGTATAATATAACTACATGGCCATTCAGAGAAAACCCATGGAGTTCCAAATTAATTTGTAACAAGTTATTAGTGAAATGGACAGAAGGTGTTTATGCAACGTGCATAGCATCAACAGTATTGGGTTTCATATCAGCCTATATTTTGCCCGTATTCCTAATTATATCATTTATCATTTATACTACACTGACTAGTGTGTTAATTGCATCCAATCATAAAACTAGATCGTCGATTTACTTTCTTGGGTCATTGATATCAAATATACTTGTCAATATAGCGTATGGCTTGTTTTGGTATTACTTAACTAAAGGATTACCGTATGCAACAAATGGTGATAAATATTTCTTCCTGTTGTATGTGTCCATAGATTCGTGTAAAATTTTCCGTTTTTGGCATTCGTTTTCTTCAAATCTGATGTGTAACTTTCTATTGTGTGCAGCGGTTGATCGTTATCTAACTGTCTATTTCCCAACAAAATTCTCAAACCTACCGAACAAGTTCGCTTGGTATGCTTTCGGTACAGTGTGGCTCATAAGCTTTCTTATGACAATTCCATTTGCAGTCGTTAGCAGCTTGCTTGCTGTTGGAGGAAAGCTTCATTGTTGGGTTACACCAGAGAGTATCTATTCTTTATTTTACAATGCTTTGGTAACAAATATGGGACCTGTACAACTATCCATCACCATTACCATAAATATCATGTTTTCCGTACGCATACGCAAACAACTGCGACAAATGAGCACAATGAAAAACACAACTGCGACGGATCGTAAACAGCTTCAAACTTTGACATTTCTAATCATATTTTCTGCATCTTATGCAATGTTTGGTGTTCCACAAAGTGTTGTGTACATCATAAGCAGAGCTACTGTAATGGGTTTCATCGATGCCAATTCTGATTTGTGTCAAAACATTGGTGATATAATATGGACTTTGTTCTTCTGTAGAAGTTTGTTTGATATTGTATTGGGTTACTTTTATTTTCAACCAGTACGCGAAACATGCTTATTAGTTTACAGAAGTTGTGGAAAGTTGAAGAACAAGAGCTCTACTTTGAATTCCCTATTTTCAACATATCAGCAGCGATCATGACGGAGTGCTTATAAAATAAACTTCAATAATGAGTAAACATAAATATTCAAGTAATTGAACAATGACATGCAAATCAATTTATAATATGAAGAAACAATCAAACAGAGAATCCATCTGAGTCAAGATGAATTGGTTCACACTATCACATTTTATGATTATGTGATTTCTAATTTTAAGTTGTTTTCAGACACAGACAACTGTTCTATAACGTGATAGATTTCATAGAACCACCTCGGGACATTAGATTACGTAAATGTACCTATCAAGTTCGTATTTTTTTCTGTATTAATGTTCATCTAAACTCATCATAAGATGGTTTAAATGATGTGCCGTACTAATCATGTACCCAAATCATTTTTATGTTCATGTGGTACATTATCTAAAAATACACATTATCATCAAGCAACCAGATTCGAATAAAATACATTTTAATCTACTTTACTTTTATTCCGATCCATAACAATGCATTTATCTACTACCAATTATGTAACCGAATTAGTAGTATTCTTTAATAACTTGAAATACAGAGTTCTAAAATATTTGATCTGCACTAAAGTTATTCAGATTGTTTGTGAAGTATATTTTATTTTAGCAACTATTGTCATTATGTATGAGTGTTAAAGAGAACGATCGTTTTCGAAATCATCATCAGGCTGTACTGCTACTAATCCAAAATTATTGTATTACAATACATAAAATATTAAAGTTGTATTAATCCAGATTGTAAATTGAGAATGGCGAACTTCACGCCAATTGAGACTTGAATAGTAACCTCTACTGTAATATTTTGTCTATTGTAACACAAAAATAATTTTTGATTTAAAACTGTAGAGCCTGATGAAGAAATTAGATCGTGGACAATGTATGATAAAAAGATGGGTGGAAAAAAATAGACAAACGAAGGATTTGGTAGATAATGATAAAAATTAAAATCATTTCATAAGTCTTATCGGGTCTAGGATGAGAAAGGAATATAGGGAATTTATTATGAATACAGAGAGTAGGTTTGTTAGCTTGAGTCTCTATAACTTTGGCCGTACATAAAAGAAGAGGTTGAAGTGCATCAGGAAACGTTGAATGTATACGATAATATACTTTTAATGAAATGACACTATCTACTAAATGATGGCTATCAAGCAATTGCTATAGAACGAAACTGTATACTGTTGTAATCATACCCTTTCCGTACCCTGAATAAAGGTACTAAGTAAGATGTTGGTCAAATTGTCTGTTTGTACATCCGATATAGTTGTCTCTGAAGCAGTAGCTGAACTTTAAGACATGTATGGATGTAACAAAACTAGATAACATATTTTAAGTTGACGAACAACCACAGGTTGATTAGAAAAGAATGGAGCAATTAACTACATAAAACGTCTTCTTTGCTACTCTAGTCAGTTTATACCGTGGTACATTACTAGCTATATATCTGCTGAATTGTAGCTACAAAATGAATGATTTCTCCTAAGACATTGATATCACTATCTTGCTGTTCACTTTATCTATACTCTTATTCAGAAGACTCGGAAGATGTATCGTTTCAATCACAATATAGTATGTGAACTCTAGTTCTTCATTTATTGTACCATCTGGGCAAATCTTCTTAGCTTTACTTGTAAGAAAACTGTTGAAGTACTAGCTGATATAAACGAAAATTTTGTTCACCCCTAACATTACTTACTATAAAACAGTACTTACAAAATAAAATTATTTGGCCTGAGAATAAATTGGCTGAAAATATTTTATTCAAAATTCTTTTGTTCCCAAAACAATATTTGGATTGTAAGTAATTTCTTAAGGAATATAAAAAGACTTTTAAAACATACAAAATTCCGTGAATTCGTTTTTTAGATCTGTACATTTCCAACTTTATCTCGACACGCAATAGCGCGAAAGAATTTGGGCGAAACTGTCTCTTAGTTTTAAAGATAACAACTCTTAGTTATTTGAGGAAAACAAAACAAATATGGAAACAAATTAATACAATAAAATAAGTGGTCTAGCTTTAATTGATTTATGATCTCAACTGTTGAAATGTTTAATTGATGAATAAAATCTTCATTTGTTGGTAACCAACTAATCCATCCTAATGTTTAAAAAATAATAGGAAATATAATTCGATTGCCTTATGATGCTACACAACCCAACATATCTATTTCTCCGGGACTAATCAAAGAATGTTTCAATTAGTCGTCTATATGTTTGATCATGCATGCGAGATCGTTGTTGCGCACTGCTGAGAAGTCCTATACTAGGGTGAGACGGCCGTTCAGTGCTTCCAGGTTTTCAGTGGTCTATCACTGATCGATTCACGATGTCAATAAAAAATATTAATTAATTAGTGTTCAGAACGTATATAATGTTGACTGATATAATAGCACCAAACAGCTGAAGATAAACTTGATTTGAAGTTTTTTAACTTTATTTACTCTTCATCTTAACAGCATATTCATTTTTCGAATTTTTCTTCGTGTTTCAAAATAATAAGCTGTCGAATAATTTTATGATCATATAGAGTCATTTAAACCCAATATTTTTTTTCAAAAGTTTGTGGCTCTTGAATATAATCAAATTACATTCCTTACCAAACTTGTGTGTAAGTCCTTGAAATTAATCACATTTTGTATTCTGAGGGAAAATGTTAGAGCACATATATAACCTAGTTAAATACACGATTGTATATCATATCCTATATACTATAAAGTACCCACACTCAAAAATTTACTCAGTATACTAGTAGGATAGTGAATTAAAAATCTGTAATGTCTCCAGAAGAATTTTCATTTATTTATATTCGCTAGTCAGTAGAACATTGATATGTATCAAATTTAAGTCCGTTCAATTCTTCTTCGCATGCAATTTGAAATTAATATGATACCATATATTGGAAATAGATAAAGACGCTTATTCAGATTAAGCGAATTCAGCATATATATATATATATATATATATATATATATATATATATATATGCTGGGTTTCTATTGTAGTTTCGCACACTAGAATTACCAACTCTGAATATATTTGATTCCCATAGAAATAATCATAGTACAATTATCACCGTTAGTTTAATTTTAATTCATAGATTGCAACTAAATATAAAGACAAGTTTCTTTTAACTAGTTTACATACAAAAATATGTTATGGGGATTTATTTACAGTTGATATAAAATCCATTCACAATATTCTTTTTATAAAATATAACTCACTAATCTGCAAAAGACGATATTATTCTCTTATAAAGCATACTGAAGTCGGTCAATGGTACATTCTATTGTGTCTGTATTTGCTTGAAAATTCGTGACTTCAATAACGTCATAATATTATTCAACTTCCCTCTTTGCAAAATTATCAGTTCACATGGGTTCATTCTCAACAAGCATGGATACACATTTTAAAACACTGCTTTTTATTAATATCCTATTTCAGTCATATTAATTTATCAACTATTTTGTAGCTAATAGAAATTTCAATACTGTCAACTATACAGTCTGATGGAAAATTTAACTGGACAGTTTAGAAATACTCCATGGGATACATATGAAGGTTGTGATTCATCCTTAATAAATACTTCAAATTTAATAATTCAAGACGATCGAATAAGTTGTGGAGTATCTATGTTGTTAGGAGCATGGTCCGGTTATATACTACCATTTATATCTATCCTAGGACTTATTTCAAACACATTCATATCAGCTGTTACGTTTGTTCAAATTAAGTTAATGCCACGTCATATGATCTACATGGCATTTATTGCAATCATGAATTCAATAACGAACATAATATATGGTTGGTTATGGCTATTTTCTGCTAAAGGTTTACCATTCATCACGAAAGGCGAAGTGTATTTTATTATAAACAACGTTTCACCAATGGTATGTAGAATATATCGATTCATCTATTCATCTGTGTCAACATGCATGTGTAATTTATTAGTTTGTGCTGCGTTGGATCGTTTCTTTTGCATATATTTTCCAATATTATTTAATAAGTTGCCGAAATATTATGTTTGGTTTGCATGTGGTGCAGTCTATCTGTTGAGCTTCCTGATGATGTTGCCAGTACTTTTCATAAGTGGTTGGTATATTGTTGAATCAAAAATACAATGTTCTTTAGAACCAAATCAATATGCGATTCGATTATACCATGCATTGTTTTCAAATTTAGGCTGCGTACAAAGTCTAATATTAGTCAGTGTTAATTTGGCATTTCTTCTACGTATACGTAAACATGTAAAAGATACAGCTACAAGAAAAATGAGTGTAACTGATCGTAGACAATTACATACGACTGTATTCTTTTTAGTCTATTCAGCATCATATACTTTAACATCGATTCCGCAAGCCATCGCTTACATTATTGGTAGACATAGTGATATTAGAAATGCATTAAATCAGTCCAAATTTGCAATTCAAATAGCAAATATATTTTGGAATTTACATTTTACACGTGAATTGTTTGATTTTTTTATTTACTTTAAATATTTTAAACCATTTCGTCTAGTTGTCTTGGATATATGTAGACCATGCTACAAACCGAAAATGAACGATACTAAACAAAAAGTTTAGTAAAGTACATGAAAATAAAAATATCAAGAGTGAGTAATCATACTGAATACTTTTCATTTAAATTATAAAACAATTCATCATGATTGTCTAAAACTAGATAGTACACCATTATTCACCATTTTGTATCAGTTTCCATTTTAATAACTTTAAATTTCTTTTAGTTTAATAAAACTAAAACATTAAAAAGAGTAGAATAACATTTATCTCATTTCAGGAATGTTTAAAACATGTTCTTCTTTTTGATGAGAAAATAACATTCAATATATTGAAGAATTTGAAAAGTGTCTCAAAAGAAAAAAACAGATGGATATAGAATCACTATCACTTGAAGAGGAACTCTATGGTAGTCAGTGTAGATAACATTAATTAAATTTTAGGAATATTCAAGGAAATGAACAAATGGAACTTGAAAATCCCTTTTCTAGTCCATTAATTTATGTATTATTGACGCGTTTTCATCATGTATTCAATCTGTGATGTTATCTTATTCTAATAAAATGATATATTTTAACCCATTAATTATTTACACAGAATAATATAAATTCAATTTACCTCGTTAGGTTCGCATCAGCTGCTTACCATGTTTCAACGTCTTAATTACAAAATTCAATTGAAAATACATAAATTAATCAATGTAGTTGAGATTTAATATAAGGACATATAGCAACATGATTTATCAAGATGTAAATAAGGCTAAATAATTGGATAAAATGATGCGGCCAAATACTACATACAAAATAAAATTGTGGAACATTGATAATAGAAAAAGGTCTATCATACTAGAAATTAATGGTAATATAATGAACAAATAAAAAAATTATGTAATAGAATAGGTAAATGGTAGAAATATTTGAAACATGATTTAATCATACAAACGTTATACTACTAGTTGACAACATTATTATTCCTGAAAGTATAAATCAGTTTCCAGATTATTGATATAAACAAACTCATTAGATTTCATAAGATAGAACATGGTTTTTGAGTAGTTAGAAAGATTTTAAGATATCTTTATGATGTTCTATATCCCTAAAATATTCAGAAATTATCCTAATGAACACTTAATTGTTCTTGAATGAAGGCTTTTTAGAATATATTCTAAACAATGTAAAGTAAGTTTGTCTTATATTCTGTTGAAAATGATTACTTTTATAAGTAAATATAAATTTATACCCAGTTGGTGGTAAAATGAATACATTAGCTGTCCATCTATGATTAATTTAGTGTACACGTTGTTTTCTGTTAGATTATTTATTTGACTGGAGAGTAAAGTTTTAGTTAATATAATGTTGAGCCTTTAATTGATTGGCCCCATATGATAATCACTTTTAAATATGTGAATAAAAGTAAGTTTATACTAACTATAAATTTTTTTAATGTTCGGTCTTTAGTTTTTTCTTTGTTAATCAATGAAATTTTACACGTATTAGTTGTTTCACAGGCACTTTTCGAAGTTCACCAAATCTTCTAGTTTGTTAGTGGCAAAGATTTTCGGGTAATACGTTCTCCTAACTGAATAGGTTAAAACTGCTTAAGTTCGAGTGTAAACCATCCTATATACTACTCCTATAAACAGAAAGTGAAAGTGTCATATGCCTTCCGCCGTATGATGATATCAAAAAAAGTGAAAATTATTGTTCTTTCAGAATTCCTCAGTAAGTTTTTCGTTTTAATGTTTCTTATAAGGGTGTCCTAACAAATGAATTGAATACTGCCCACAGTTACACAGGATGAGTATGATGTTGGTATGCCAAAAACAATACATCATTTCATCAGTTGCTTTCTTAAGCTCTGTCTTCTTAATATTAATCATGAAAATAGATGCTAGAACAGGATAAAATGGACTCCTCATTACTGCCTCAACGATTTGACGGTATAAGATATAGTCGGATTGAAACTGAACGTCCTTCTTACACGTAATATTAATTGTTTAAAAATCAGATACTAGTAGGCGTTGAACGTTACAACACTGGCACTTAATGTCTATAGTGTCAACTTGTGTTTTGGTAAATAATAATGTTACATAAAAGTAAATCATTTACTTACAAAATATATCTAAATGCTTAAGATCTTGAAGTGAAAAATGTCTTCCATCGAATACACAGCTATCTGTAGATGGACAGGTTCTAGCATCTACGCAAACCACTTACGAACCACGTGATAAGATAAACGATTCGTTGATTACATGGATTTAAATGAAACATTCTGTTCATGTAACTTTATTAGGCTACACATATAGGTCAATAAAACCCTTAATTACTTAGATTACTGAGTGTTAAGTTGTTGGTCGATTTATATTTTAAAGGTTCTCTGAGCATGTTAATGATGTGTTTTTCTGTTAGATGTCAAAAGTTGTATTTATCAATATGGATGGTATTTAATTCCTTAAAATCAATGTCTTCTTAGCTAAATAATCAGTTGTGTTTTTAAATGCGACACTTGAACACATATTTAGTCATCGATATTGAATAATTTGATCATAAATAACCCCTCTTGTCCATATTCGCCGGATGGAAATCTTTCTACTGGTCAGATATATTCTCAGATTCAATCATTGTATCAAACTTGACAATACCTATTTCTGTCATTTGAAATTTAAATATAAGTGACTGAGTTTCAGTTTCATGTTATTGAGTTCTACTTTTTATAGACTATACATTAATTTTTCGAAGTTAATTGAAAGAACTTCATTGAATTATTCTTTTGTCACAAGATTCAACAGCATCTTGTGGAATTTCTCTGGATAAAGTTGATGAATTTTATTCGATATAAGATAATCAAGTCTAATGCGATTAGTTCTCTTGATGAAATTTTGTACATCCATAACAAAAGATACTCAGGTGCTTGAAAGAACTTGGATGACTAAAGGTCTAAGAGGTGAAACATTTTATGAAATAATGTTCAAATAATAAGAATAATCATGATAACCATAAGGTAGGAATGAAAATGTTACTAAAACAGACAATGAGTGAGTTATTAAGATTCAATAAAAGATGAGGAACGTTCGTAAGCGTTCTAGGTTAGATAAACGAAATAATTTTTTTAGAATGTTTTTAGAACAGAAGAAGAAAGAAGAAAAGGAGAGTAGCTATAATTAGGCCACCATAAGAGTATTAGGTGAGTGGTAAGATCTTGTTTGTTTGCATAACTTGTGGTTTGTACGTCAGATAAGACTGCTTCTGCTTAACTTAGAAGTTAGCTATTATTTTGCTCACTTATCACATGGAAGACAGTACCAGGAACTGTGTCTAATATATGTCTTTCAGTCGCACAGGTTTTTCAGCAAATCTTGAAACTACCTTTCATGTAGTAAATGGACAAAATAATGGCACCTTTCTACACCTTATTATTTCAATATCATTCATTAAAATGTCTGACTACTTATCAATTTGGTCATTTAAGTACTTGTGTTTTCTAATTTACCCTTCAACTATTGTTATTATTATGATTATTATCATTACTTTACGATTGTTTTTGGTAATCATCATAACTTTTATCATTTTATCTAGCATAGTTACAACAGTTTGCATATGACTTTTATACTCATCAATATCATAGTCTCTTTCAGTTATTCCGTTCGCCCATAAATTGAATTTGTATAAATCTGGGAAGTAATTGTTATTTCTCACCAGTGAACTAGATGACTTTATGCGTTTTACTTACAATAATCGATTTATGAAGAATTTTATTTACTTATACAAATCAGTGAGGATGCGTAAGATTTGGAACATACGAAATGAAATGGATTCAATTCAACGTACAATATTCAAATTATCAATCAATTTGTTAAAAAGCACTAACTTTCCAATTGATCTTATAATAAGTAATTCTATTATACCATCGTGAGACTTCGGACTCATATACAAGCATATTTTTTGAAAAGTTGACAGTGATAGCAGCTTATTTTAGGAATTTATCAAAATATTTAAGTCTAGTCATTTTTCTAAATTTTCTAAAGTGTACATAACTGTTTATTTTCATTACGATAAACTTTTTCTGCTATGATTGTTATACAATCGACATTTGTGCATAAAATTTGATTGAAACATTTTATTTAGTCGTGTAACCTTATCTGTATTTTGATATATAATTCTGAGATTTATGCTCCATGCCATAATTAACCTATTCCAAAGAAACGTACAATTTTCTGTGATTTAATACTCGATTAAGTTAGCTATTTAAAAGCATACTTCTTTGTTTGTTTTACTTATTTTCATTTTAATCTTATGTTATTATATTATTATGATTATATTATTTGAGTAAGAGCGTTTACAAGTATTCCAGTTTTGACTTACATTTCTACTTTTTGTATCCACTTTTGTAGCTTTTAAGTAATTTCCTATTATCTTAATAAACAGATTTTGCTGAATCAATAAAACAGTCCTATAGTGTGAAATATTATTGCAGTTGAAGGTTATCAAATCATAATTTGTTTGAAAATACTCCTTAGATCAAATTACAAAACAAGATCATTCATGAACCGTAGAAATACATTTGAACATTACTCATATGACGGGGTAAAAAGACGATATTATGTAGGTCAACATTTTTTGTATTAATTCATTTTTCATTTCAGTCAACGTGACATGTGTGAACTTTGTTCAGTGTGACAATTCGATTCACTGTATCGATTCTGGTGAAGCATATTTATTAAGCTTTTTTTACACAAACCCTATGTATTTCCACTTGTATTAGTATAATGTGTGTGTGTGTAAAATTTGATGAATAAATGATTTTCAAATTGGACATTGATTGTCAATCCAAAGATTTGTGTTATAGGAACAGAAAAATTTAAACCCAGAGAAAGTGCCTCCTTTTCATGAACATACAATACAATAAGTGATTGTATTTCGGTCTAAGTATGATGTGATTTTGGTACTTGTTTAGACACCTGTTTTTAAGTAGTCAATAAATCTCCATTGCACTTGTCTTTCGTGTTCTCACTTTAGGTCGTTGGAATTTTAGTGGTTCCCGTTTCTCAGTATAAGCAGTAGGATCGAGGCATTGCTGTGGTTAAAAGCGGTAAGAATGAGGACTAAATAAAGACGATTCTGTTACAATAACTCAAAATAAATATTGCAATTTCGAAAGGCCAGTTGTAACGAATATGTTATTATTAAAGAGCGGTTGTTTTGATAAGTTTATTTGAAAGATTAGTCAATATTTAACTTTACTGATTCTAAGTTATTAAGTTAGTTGATATAATTATAATGAAAAATAATTGATAATGTACTGTAAGAAGAACAGAAACAATATAGTAAATATAAGGTAAGTACTGTTTAAGCATTATAACCGTCCAAAAAACATCTACCTCGAACAAAAGGGTTGAATAAAATCTTGTTGAATGTAAAGTTTACAGGATTAATATTTATATGGCTCCGCCGTTCGAAGTCGCATGTGCACACTATTGATATGATTAAGTAGTACTCTATAAATAAAACTATAATGGAAAAGACTTACAGCTCAGAATGAGGATTTTAGAAGTGTTGTTTCATCTGACCTGAATGGTTTAATTCTAAAACTCTCACTTTCCTTCTGGGAAACATCATCGAAGCGAACTTCTGTGAAGAATGAATTATTTGAATTTCTCTTCAACTGATCAACAGTTTGATCTATCAACCTGGAATTCGGTTCATTTTTGTCCATATCTGTACCACTGTTGTTTGCTATTTTGTCTTCACTGTTTTCTCGCCTGACCTCATTTCTGACCACGACGTTGTTAATCTTTTTTTCAATGACTGACAGATTTAGTTAGTTTTGATATATTTCATAGTCTATGGTTTATCGGAGTACCAGGCTTTTAAAAATCCGCTAGGTTTCTTCATGTTTCCTCTATCCGATATTCTGGCGTTTTCTCAATCGGATTCATGTCCACAGCCGTTCAAACGAATTGATATAAGTGAAGCTATGTTTCAGCGTGCGACAGCTAACTGGTATTCATGTAAAAGTTGGCGAAGATGGCCACTTTTTCCTATGTAATTTTTATCGAAATTCACCGAATTTTAGTTAATACATGATTTTCGGCTTGTCTTCGTTCTTTGTTATGTTTTCTGGTTTATATAGTATTGAGTACAACGAGTTTGTCGGTTTATGGGCAACACATGTTCCTCAAGGCCTTAGTAACCTGATTGTCATTTCTGAGAAATTATTCATGTGGAGTAAAATTGTCCTTTTGGTGATTTTCAATTCGCTAGTCAATTTGATAAATATTTCTTGACGAAATACTGTGTATAGCCAGTTTTTTTGTTTCGTTCAGTTCGTTTTAGTTGCTAGTGTTTTAGTGTGCTAGTTTTCTAACGATTCTGAAAATTTTACAATATTGTCGTCACGTTCCTATCTAATGAGTTATTTTAATAAAAACAATATATTTGTAATATCCCAATCAATAGAAAAATATATTTTTACTATTGTATTATTTGTTTCATAGTTTTGTTGATCCGGTTAGCCGGCACATTTCTAGAAAACATACTTCTAACTGTAATTTCAAGTTACTTTTGTGGTTTCAGATTTCCGTAAAACGTTTGCCATGTTAATCATTGTTCATAGCATGGATTTGCACTGTAATCGGTTAAAATTCTGGTACCGTTAACTTTAGAGTTTACAGGTTGGAGTTGTTGAAAGTAGGCAGTGTTAATTAAAAAACTATGAGGGAACCTGGTCGGAGATGGGTAGTTGACTTCCTATTCTCAGTTCTCCCATGGTTGGATCTTTACGTTTGCAAGCCTGGTTTGGTAACATCAATGTCAATTGACATAGGAGTTGGAATCAGGAGGATTATTAAACCTCAGAATTGAACAACGAAGAATGAGGCATAGGAAGCGTTGAGACTTCCACAGAGATATCAGTTTTTTATTGGTTTTTAATATTCATAGTTAATTCTTGCACATCATATAATCAATTACCTCACTAACCAATCAATGAAACTGAACAAGGATAATGTATTGCAAATTGGACGAGGTTATAAACATAAACTATATGAGTCTTATCAAATGACTGATAGTTATCGCGCTAGCTGTGAAGCTTTAATGTCCAAGGTTTAATCTAGTGTAGGGTTGTAGGTACGCACTACTGAGAAAACCTCAAACTAGAACGAAATAGCTGTTCAATAGTTTTTGATTGTTAACATTTCCCCAGACGGGATCAGTTAGAAACGAAAACTAAGTCTAAGTTGTACAAAATGTAAACGAAGATATTGTTAATCCTTCTTTTGGCCTACACATACAAATGAAGTGTATTCATAGCAAGCACCGAGTATCACTTGTTCTTCTTCAACCTCAGTTGGGTTAGTTAGAGAGCTGATCCACTAATTACTAACTGAATGGATATATGGTTCACATAACATTGAGTCATACTAAATAAATTCTGGCACTAGTTTGTTATTCTCAATAGATCTTAGTACAAATACACAGGTTTAATGTTTGCCTGAACAAGACATACTTCCACCTGATTACAAACCAAGTCTTAAACGTTGAAATTTTGTGATCGATAGGAATTAATCACATACATGAGACAGATTTAGAGAAACTCGAAAGACATAATTAATTGAGGTGCAGTCTATTTGATTAACTTTATACCTTTTAGTGTCCAGCTAATTAGTAAGCAGAAGTTTATTTCACCAAATTAACAATTAATTTACCACAAGACATAAATAAAACTATACGATTGGCTTTTTTCATTGTTAAATTACTCATACTCCTACACATTATTAAGCAGAAAATAAAGTATTCTTCATGGTATATTAAAGTGACGTCTATACTTGCGTCTATAAATACTTATTTCAATCTCAATTAACCAATTATTTGTTCAGTAATGTTTCACTGAAAACAGTAACCAGGATAAAGGATAATATACTGACATATCAGCTTACTTGACTGAGTGGTGACCATATAAACTTGATGGATAAAACCCAGTCAACTCTCAAGACTATAAAGCATAATTCTCAAGAATCAGGTTAATATCTAATGATATATTGGTCATGGTGAAGTACTATAGTATGAACGAGAATGAAAAGCCTAAGTTATCCCGACATGTAACAACCACAGAACAATGTTGACGACATAAACTTCCAGCGAAATTTGCAATAAGCATTATTTCATACAAGGAGGAGAGTATTTGATGGACTAAAATGAAATTGTTAAATAAATGATTATTTTCTATCTGGTTTCTGTGTAAAACATTAAGTAGATTCAAGTTACCATAGTAGCTAAATTTTGTTTAAATAGAAATAAACCAAAAAACCGTTGAGTATTCAGCATTGGTTTCTCTAGCTGTGGATCTTTCAGTCGATAACTCCGTCAGTTATTGAACAAAGAACAATCAGGTCATCGAGCGAGTAAGAAACTAAGCAGTACGTGAGTCAAAATCCAGTATGTACTTCTAGGAGATTATCCAACTTTATACTATTCAAAAATTTGAACTTATTAGTAACTATATATTTTCATCAAGACAAAAATGTATTTGAAATAATCAAGAGTGTATTCATTTCATACGAATAATGGTATTATCACTTACACAATACCAGACGGTCGTACCATTTGAAATTATCAATTCTCAGTGCAGCCAGATCTTTAGTGATTTTTATAATCTCATCTTTGACATAAACTTCGTATAAAATATAGGACATAAGTCCAATAAGAATAACTGTTATTCATGCAAATTTATTCGTACAAATGAAATGAAAGTATCTGACTATCTTGATGTTGTTTGAAAGATGAAACATACATTTCAGTAATATAGTTGCGCATCCTAATTATTTGTGAAAGCCGTTTACTATTTCCAAAATTTAGTTAATCACTAGATGAAATGAACGGTATTTCTGAATTAGATAGAAATATTTGACGACAATTATAATTAATATGAATAAAAAAATTTCTCAATCTTATCCTAGATCAGAATAGTCTAAAACGCTAATAAAACCTTTCGTAGAGAACTATTGATTTCTTAAATGTTAAAATATATATTAGTGATGCATGCCTAGAAACATAATTGCCCTGGTACGGCCGAAAGTGGGAAGAGTCCGCTCACCCTCTCGAAGTGCTCTCAACATGGCCACGTGCATACAACCACTGCCAAGGAAGTCCTATTCACTGCATTCTCGTGGAGGGAGTGTTGTTTATGAAATTGAGAGGACGAAAAGCGAATGTCCGGCGCTTTGACAAGATCAGTGGACATGGAGAGTCCACCTAGGGGAGTCGGAAAACCCTGATTCCAAACCAATGGCGCACATGGGCTCCAGTACCCTGAAGGAACAAATGGCATATGAGCCTATCGTCGGTCCTCAAATACCATGGGACTGCATCTCCTGACGTTAATCCACTGCCTTGTGGATCAGAGCTTCAGGTCAAAGGCTCCGGGAGTGGCCCCCTAAGAAAACCACCTGCTTCGGTTTGAACACCCGGGCAGTATTCTAGCCCTCACACAAGTCGAATGATCTATGTGGCGCATACCTATTTGGTGCCTCCTTGTACCGATGTTTATGTTTTAAATAAATAATAAATAGAAATATTATTCACGACACTAACAGTTCTGTTTCGTATGGAATCTAGAAAAAAATGAGACCTAGGAGCTTTCCACGAATACAAGTAATATAGGTCAACGGTTGATATGTGTAGTCAAACATAAACGCGTGATTTCCGGGTTAGATATGGAATATCTAAGCTAATAAAACGCTTCAATAAAATTAAAAATATCGTTTGAAATTTCTTTGAACCGCTGTTATTACATTTAAAATAGAAACAAGTGACCGACTTTGAATAAAATTATTCCCGGATAGATTGAAACTAATTAGATTATCATGAAACATAAATAGTAGAAAAATATCTCATCATGAATGAAATATTTTTGACCATCTGAAACTTGAAAAAAGTAAGCTTTATTTGTACACTAATCATTAAAAATAGTAGTTACAAAGATCCACATTATTTCACAAACAATTAAATTTAATAAATTCCGAAAAACTGTTTCATAATTAATCATGTAATAAGAATAAATAAAGATCGTAAGACTAAGAGCGACAAGAATCTTTCTTTGAATGAAATGAGTTTTGAACAATAAATCAATCCATTGATTCTATTTCACAAATACAGGACGGACTGTTCTTAAAGCTTCAATCTTTACATGATGGCGTGAAATCCAACGTTCGAATTGTAATCTGTCTGTTTGACCTATCCGAAATAAAGCCATTTCCAAGGAGTCGAATCTAAATTTGTCAATTGATTAGTTGATAAACAAGAATATGTGCGAATGATTAAATTGAGAATGAAATGAATGTACAGTGAAGTAACAACCAGCTAGGCAAATTAAGGTATTTACTCCAGTGATAACTCATTATAATCCATAAAAACGCTAACAAACAAACGTTTAATTTCAATATGGTCACGGAAAATCTCAAAACCGATTTTCTTTTTCAAAAAAATTCATTCTTTCAACCCTTGTAACCTTTACCAAATTAACTCATTTCTAATCTTTATAAAAATGCTGCTATGTATAAAGCAGTGAGAAGTGAAGACTTAGAAAGTAAAATACAAATTTTTTTATTAACTAGTAACGTCAATTTATGGAGATCTTACACAATTTGGACTTAGTTAAAACCGGAAAACTGACGGTTAGAGAACCACTTAAAATTAATGGGTCCAGGATAGCTGTTTCATTTAAAGGAGCAAATGTTGACAAAGAGTGACTGTTGCACAATATCATAAGTGGAATTAAAAATGTGGAACACTGTCGTACAGTAAACTCTGTTAATGATAAACAATTTGTTACAGGTAGCGTAGTTCTGCAAACTTGAAGACACTTCTTGTACATGAGAAGAGAAAAATCTGAAACACACACTAGATAACATTTCTAAAGATAAATGGGTTCTATTTACTACAAAGTTGTTTATTCGTTACCTAGTACTATTAAATTACCTATATATAGAAGTCAGAACTCCGCCTGGAGTCCCTCCGGGGGGCTACTGCCGGTACCAAGCCCGGATAAAGGAGGAGGGTTGGGCATGGGGCTAGCGACTCCATCCCGTAGAAAACTAACTCGCTAAAAAACGCTAACCAGAAAAAATTATTCAAACCATTTAAACTCTGCCCTGGGAGTCCGGAGGCCTTCGTTTAGAAGAATTATGACGCCTCATGATGAAAGTCGAGTTTCTTCGGAAGTCACGAGGCCGATGCCTCTTCTGACAACCAGGACAACCATTTATTTAGGTACATAGAATGCTCGTTCAATGTGGGAGACTGGGAGTTTTCCAAATTGCTGCAGCAATGAGGAGATACAACCTAGATGTGCTTTGGATCATTGAAACACATTGGACGCAAGTTGGACAACAACGACTAGATTCAGGAGAGCTGCTGTTATAATCCGGACATGAAGAAGAAAATGCCGCACATACACAAGGAGTAGCATTGATGCTGTCCAAACAAGCACAAAATGCACTTATAGGATGGGAATCTCATGGACCAAGGATCATCAAGGCCTCCTTCAAAACAAAGAAAACGGGGATTACAATGAACGTCATCCAATGCTACGCGCCTACCAACGACTTATTTATTTATTTGAACACATAAATATTGGTACAGGGGGGCACCAAATATATATGCGCCACACAAAACAATGATAATTTGAAGAGAAGGAAAGAAAAAAAAAGTAATGAACGTGGGGAATTATAAAAAAAAGAGAGAGAACAATGGTGGGGGAAACGGAAAAGTACAATCGGAAGAAATCTTTCAGTTAAGGAAGATACAACCACTTTTTATGAAGAAAGTCAAAGAAGGTTACAGCACGATCGCTACTGGCTTCTATTCTGAACCATATCTGATAACTTCTCTAGCCACTGCGTTACACCGTCTCTCGGACCCCAACCAGGGAGTCGTGAAGGACCAACAGAAGCTAGCCCTTTGCAGCTTTCTTTCATACCACGACACCATGTCATATACTGACCACCTCTCCGCTTTTTCCAACCAGTCCCAGAGTCGGCAAATAATGCACGACGAGGAATTCTCTGGGACGACATTCGTAGAACATGTCCAAGTCACCGAAGTCGATGTTTCAAGATGGTGACACCAATTTCATTATCGTCTCTGTGACCGAACACACGATGCCGGACCTCTGCATTACTGACATGGTGTTGCCACTGGATGTCAGCAATCCTTCGGAGACAACGATGATCGAACACAGAGAATCGTCTAACATCCTCAACTCGGAGAGGCCAGGTTTCACAAGCATAGAGCAAAACTGCTCTCACCGTCGCGTTGTAGATCCGACCTTTTACAGCCAGACTAACATCACAAAGGCGCCAAAGATGGCCCAGATTGGCATAAGCCGCTCTGGCTTTCACTATACGTGCACTGATCTCATCACTCACACCACCACCAGCACTTATGCAGCTACCTAGATACACGAACTTCTCGACTACTTCTATCTGCTCACCATCCAGAGTGAGTACAGAATTAGAATCCTGCCAGTCTTGTAGAAGTACTTTGCACTTCGACGGTGCAAAGCACATACCATACCTACGGACACTGATTGCCAACTGATTAAGTGCGGATCGCATGGCTTGAACATTCTCGCACAGTAAGACAATATCATCCGCATACTCAAGGTCGAGAAGTCTTTCTCCAGGCAACAGATCTACACCACCATTACTTACATCCGTCAGAGCTGTTTCCAGAATGTCATCGATGGCAAAGTTGAAGAGGAATGGTGAGATTGGGCAACCCTGCCTAACTCCACTGCTCGAATGGAACAATCGAGAAAGGTGGTTGTATGCCCTCACTCTGTCTGAGGTGTTTGTGTATAGGGCTTTTAGGATGTTAATAAACTTCTCAGACACACCCTTCTTCAATAAACAATCTCAGGCACAACACAGCATGCAACAATCCAATCACAATTGACGGAGAAGATTTGAAAAATGTACAAACCTTTACATATTTGGGCAGTATCATCGATGAACACGATGGATCTGATGCAGATGTGAAGGCACGGATTGGCAAAGCAAGAGAAGCATATTTACAACTGAAGAATATCTGGAACTCAAAACAATTGGCAACCAACACCAAAGTCAGAATTTTCAATACAAATGTCAAGACAGTTCTACTGTATGGGGCGGAAACCTGGAAAACTACGAAATCCACCATCCAGAAGATACAGGTGTTTATTAACAGTTGTCTACGCAAAATACTTCAGATCCGTTGGCCGGACACTGTTAGCAACAACCTACTGTGCGAGAGAACAAATCAGATCCCAGTGGAGGAAATCAGGAAGAAACGCTGGAAGTGGATAGGACACACATTGAGAAAAGCACCGAACTGCGTCACAAGACAAGCCCTCACATGGAATCCTCAAGGCCGAAGGAGGAGAGGAAGACCAAACACATTACGCCGGGAAATGGAGATAGACATGAGAAAAATGAACAAGAATTGGATGGAACTAGAATGCTGGTCGGCGGCCTATGCTCCATTGGGAGTAACAGGCGTAAGTAAGTAAGTAAGTAATATAGAAGTCAGACTACACGATGAACTGACTTCCAATCCTAACCTTATATGTAAATGATTCGCTCTATAAATCCACAATAAAGGGAGTCTTAGGGGAAACAAGTTAGTTAAAAATATCACCAAACTACCATACAAAATGTAGTGTGATTTATATAAAGTCAGGTAGATGACACCCAAGGACAGTTGAAAAATAAGTAACAGTAGTCTTAGGAGTCTTCTATATCTCTGATAAAAGATCAAAAGAATGTTTATGCAGTCTTAATCACCAAATTTATGCTTTGTATTTATTAAAGCAAATGTATTTCAACCAATTCTTTAAATTTATTGAATTATTTATCGACTTAAGGACCAATCGTTAATAGTTCTAGCTATAACCATGTTTGCTGATCATGCGTTTATGTAGTGTAGAGTATAGTGAATTCCATGATTATTTTGGAACGTTTGATACATGCTGAAACTTTCTGCTATCTTTAACATTAATGAATACTTTAAATACTAGGACTTACTTAGCTGTAGATGACAAAGTATCCTGTCGAGAAGCATTGAGTGAGGCATCCATAATCATCTTTAATCGTGACTAATGATGATTGAGATAAAAAATATACATAAACTCGTAGCTGTTATATAAGTGATAGTGGCAACTTGGTTATAATACATTACTTAGGAAAACATTGTGTCAGGGCTAGCAAAACAATCCTACTTTAAAATTTGAAGTAGAACAGGATTTAAACCTAAAACCCGACGGCTGAAAGTTAAGTGTTTTAACCACAAAAGTACCCTTATGCTCACTAATAAAAGTGAGAAACATTAAATTATTGTTAAGAAAAACCGGTAAATTTAAATAAAAATTCAATAATTACAGTCTTAGTCTCTTTTAATAGCTTCTGAATAGAATTAATTTTCCATTCATCACTGAAATTACCTAGAAAACACGGACAGTTTCGAAATCATGTATTTAAAAAGCGTTAAAGTTTTATCTGCGTAAAGCTGCATATATATTTTTCCATCAGGTAAATCTGAGGACAAGTAGATATAGGAAAGCCGACCAACATGTAAGAGATGGATACAAACCATAACTTAAATTTCACCAAATTTAAATAATTACACGGCACTAAGTAATACTGATTCTATCAAAGCACAACAGCTAATAAAGAGAAAGACTGCGAGCAAGAGAGCTAATGAAAAATGCATACGAGAAGCAAATGTAGGTAGGGAAATGACTAAAATAAGGACATCTAGAAATCCTGATTCATGTAAAACTACATTGTTGAAAATCAATCTGTTTTAGTAGATTTCATAGGAAATCATCAGTACAAGCTGGAAAATTGATTGAGAACTATACACAACTCAAAACTGTGCTGTAAAAGCATTTCGGCATATTTATAACGAGAATCTAAAATTTGCTTTTAGCACAACTACAAAAAGGCGAAATAGTTTGCTGAATTGTAAGCGATGGTGAGATGTAGCTTATGTAGATACTTTTGGTGGCCTTGATGATTATTTGCAGCACCAAAATAATTTTAAAAATAAGCCATCTAGCTAATAGAACATAAACATTTTCGAACCGTGTATCCAAAAATCACATTTTAGTTATTTTTTAACTGTGTATTCTTACGTACAAACTGTCAATTCCCTTCAGAATAATAAGTGATCGTTTAAAGCTATTTTTGTCTTTTATTGTTTACTCTCTTTTCGAGTCGTCTTATTTCCTTTAAAATCTCTACATGTTCATTGAGTTTCGTTTTTTCACTACTGTGAAGCAAAGAAAGTCAAACTATTAGGTTTAGTGCGAAATTTAATTTTTATACAGTCATTCACTTGTTCAAATAAGGTACAATTTTAAAAATACAAAGTGACTTACTTGAAAAACCTTAGTGCCAGTAGCAACAATTTGTGGTACTCGAACATGACCCGACATCAATAAGTTGCATAATAACATATAATACATAGACCCTTTTCTTTTGAGGTCGACCACACAAGGATCTGCTTCGAATACTTCAGTAAAGGCATCCTAAGTGTTACAGACAGAAAATTACTAACATACCCGGTAAATTGGAGGTAATTCGATGCTCAGTATTTGTCTTCTACCGCTACCAATAGCGATAGCTAGCCAAACTGGTAGCTCAATCCTTTTCCCTACTGGGACGTCATCTGACGCTTTGTAACCATCATTAATGCCTTCACCATGCATTTTATCTTTGACATCTGAAAGTAGCAGTGGTGCCAAAGATGGAAGTAGTACACGAACGCGACATGACGTGCGTTCATTAGATGCCAAAATATCATCAATATTCAGATAAGAACCAGCATGTAACAGAGACAATGTCCAGTCTGTACCAATAAACGATAGCCTATTCAAAAAGTTACTGCGAAATTCTAACATACATTGGCGATCAACGTGTGTACAGCTACGAGTGTTAATGGAAGTGCTTTAAATTTTTAAGTATAATTGTCGAAAATCTACCTGAAAGAAGTACAAGAATCACGTAAAGTAAAATTGATTCATTCTTGCAAACAAAACAACTAGTATGAAAACAAGATACTAGAATAATGAAATTGTTTTGCTAGGAGACGGGGTGTGGCCCCCTAGGAAAACCACCTGCTTCGCTTTGGGCACCCGGGCAGTATCACAGCCCTCACACAAATCAATTGAGATTCGTGTGGCGCATATGTACTTGGTGCCTCTCTATACCTATAATTATGTGTTAAAATAAATAAATAAATAATTTGCTAGGAGACTTGTTCTGAACTGTTTTTTGATTGAAAATGTTAGTGACCACAACACAGAGGTCGATTACACAGTCGAGTCCTTGGTCTGAGCTAAAATCTGTTATGAATGATATCCCCTATAGTTATCAACTGACTTGAAATATAACGTATCCAAAACGCTTTTTAAGCATTCTTTGAGTTAAGATACATGAGAGTCGAAGTTTTAGGTTACTAGTTTGTTATAGGCTTACAAAGCAGTACATGAACACGTCATTATTTATAATACTAATCCGGATAAGGAAGACTCGATTTTATTAACACGTCCAAATTATTTCTATGAATCAGTGGATCGATAATGACGTTTAGGTCATGAATAAAAAGATTGTGCATAAAAAATGGAAGAGATTTCGAGATGCATCTTCGGATGTTCGAGACTGGGAACTTGATGTCATGAAAACCTAGACACGAAAATTTCTGAAGAGCCTTCCTGCCGTTAGAAATAACCTAAAAGTAACGTAAATCAGCTTAGAAAGCCCCATCGAAATAAACTGATACAAAAATCTGTCATACATTTTTACTGGATATTTGGAAAATCCCAATTGCTCACAAACTGAAAAGTGTGGAATTACTGAAACAAGAAAGCTTGAAGTTTTAATCTAAACGATAAAGCTGTAAACGTAAGACTATAAGATGAAAATCGAGCTTTGCCATATTTTGACACGACTGACAAAGCTTCATGTGTTTTATTTACTAATGGTTTCAATATTAAGCTGAAAAACACGGGACGCCGTTCGGATTTAGCAGCAAAATAGTTCAATTAACTGGTTTCAGAAGTACTTAATCCATGGATTTAAGCAACTTCAAAACCATTAACCAAGAAAACAAAATAATACCACCAACAACAGACTTTTTCTTACGGATAGCTCCTGATAAAATTTAGTAATAAAATTGAGTTCCTGAACTGTGGTCACCACCAGTTTAGAGCTATAGTTGCTTAACGTTTATAGGCCAATGTTACTTCTTGAGCACTAAGAGCATTTCAGTAAATATTTAGAATTGACGTCTAGATTACGACCACAACTAGTTTTTACGTGATGGTGATAGTAATAAGGCAGGACGATTGATTCTTGAGATGCTACCAGGTCTAGTAGGCAGGTTATGTAGCAATACAAATTAAAGATTTTGGAGACAAAACAAATATTCAGATACAATTTACATGACTAACATCAGGCAGAAGTCTAGGGGGCACTGTTGAGTCGATTTCAAGAAATCTTCACATGATATAGACACGGAAAAACCCACTCGTCTATATACAACCCTGAGTAACTCGCTTCAAACTGTTCATGATCAAAGCATACTTCATTCCAGAAGTCCTCTTTCATCCCAGTTTTTATCTTTCTCACGCGGAACCAGTGCAAACAAAATACCTTCATGAGGGATCAAACCGAATAATTACATCATTATAATTATTTCTAGATAATTGCTACATCGACTAGATATGATCAAGTGAATGGATCGAACTGAAATATGTACGTGTATATCTGAAACAAAATGTGTTAAGGACTGAGACGGTTGAATTTTGTCTGCGTCGACGCAGTCATGACAAAGTTTATAGTGCAATTTCACTCGACTGGTATGGTCCCATATATTAAGATTGTTAACCTTAATCATAGCGACAGGAATAAGACAAATATGGGTGATAGCACTATTAGTTGCAATGTGAATGAGTTATTTAACATGAGCACTATTGTTAACTACGTACAAGTTACCATACCTGGCTAGGAGCTGGCTTATGCGAAGTAAGCGGATTAGAACCACAAACTAGGATCAAGTGATAAGAAATTGGAATGAGTGGTGTAGTAATCATCTGACCCATCAGGTTGTCAACGCCTCGAATGTCCAGCTCGTAAAAGCAGTATTAGCCTAATCAGTGAGCAGTTTCAATGGTAATACATAAATTGTCGAAACTAAAATCTGATGTAGGAACATCAAAGCACTCATTTATTTGAAACACGTTTCTCATTAAACATTGAAGTTCAGCAAAACTCTGAGAATATGAAACATCTGGTTTAAAGCTCCCAATTTTGAGAAAATTTTTTATGTTTCGAGAAAGCCGCTGCGGAAAATTTTGGGATAATGGCACAAGAACCTTAAAATTTCCCAAACTTTGGGAAAAGCACCAAAACAGAGATTGGTACCATTTAATTTACTTTATTATTTTCACATGTGACCACGACGAGTAATCTCTCACATCTATGTTTCACTTATAATTAATAAATCATCTGACGCCAGCTACGGCACACTATGTTAAGCGGGATTATTTAGAAGCGACCAGGAACATCCAGGCCACCACCCATTACTTATGTAACGGTATTTAAAATCACAACATGTAAGGTAACTAATGTGAGTTTGTTTTCCTTGTTGCAGAGCAACAAAGAGTAAACGCACTACAACAAGAGGAACAAGCCTTACGCAAGCCAAACCTGCAGAACAATGAATAAACCCAATTTGTAATCAGATTCCCTCTTTGTACTCGAGCCGCGTGTTTCAATTTTTAAATATATTTCTGTGGTGCCAGTACGCCGTGTTCTTGCTTCGGTGGCATTTACCAGTCCCGACTATATTGTTGTGGCAAACGCTAGTTGCAAGTAAACGCTAATAATACGTGCTACAAGACACGTTTCGAGTACAAAAAGGCAATCTGATTACAAATTGGGTTTATTCATTGTTCTGCAGGTTTGGCTTGCGTAAGGTTTTTTCCTTCAGTCTTCAGTAATAAGGATAGTAGGTTAGTGAACCTGTGTTAATCCTAACAGGTTGGCTTCCAATGAAGGTCCAGTTTCTCTTTGAAAATATTCACTGATGGTGCTGATACCACTTGATCGGGCAAAGCGTTCCAATCATTGACTACTCGATGAGAAAAACGGAACCCCACCTTGAGTTTATTAGATCGTGGTTTATGAACCTTCTTGCTATGACCTCGGAGATTATTAGTACTGGAGGGAGCAAAAAGATAAGACATATTAACACCCATATCATAATTAAAGATACGAAATGCCAGTATAAGGTCACCTCGAATCCTACGATACGACAAGGGGAAAAGGTTTAAGCGTTTTAAACGCTCATCGTAAGGGAGTTTAGAAAGACCCTTCACTAATTTCGTTCCCACACGCTGGACACGCTCAAGTGAGGTAGTATCCTTTATCAGACATGGGCTAGCTGCTTGAATACAGTACTCTAAATGTGGTCTTACATAGGTGGGATATAAAATTCGAAACATTTCCTCGTCAAAGGATTTGAACGCTCGGCGAAGTGACCATAACGCACGAAAACCTTTGACAGCGGCTGCGTTGCAGTGCGCAGTTGTTTTTAAATCATGACTTATTATTACTCCTAAGTCTTTATGTTCTTGAACGCATGGAAGAGGTTTGCCATCAATAGTATAATGGTAATTATTGCCGTGACCGATGTGCATTAGCACACTCTTCCTAGAGTTAATTTCTAAACCCCAATCTCGAGCCCATCTAACTAAATCGTCTAAGTCAGATTGAAGATCCAGATGATCTGCATCACCTCTTATTGCTCTCCATATTTTGACATCATCCGCAAATAATAATGTCGACGACCTAAGCAACAGCGGTAATTCATTTACGTAGAGAAGGAATAGCAGAGGGCCTAATATGGTGCCTTGGGGTACACCACTTTTGACCGGCTTCCAATCGGATAGCGTCCCATTGACCCTCACTCTCTGTCTGCGGTCACGTAAGAAGTTTCCTATCCACTCCTGTACGGTACCTATTATTCCGAAGCTTGTGAGCTTCTGTATAAGACCTGAGTGTGAAACCTTGTCAAATGCTTTGCTAAAATCTATGAATATAACATCCACTTCTTGTAGTACGTTTATTCTTTGTTGCTCTGCGAAAAAAAACAAGCTCACATTGGTAATGTCGTAAATTACGATTCTTAATACCGTTACATAGATAACGAAGGTACAGGTAAAACGTTATGACCGTTCGAAGCTGCCCGCGCTTTCGTTTAAACGACCTTGAACAGCCTGACAAGAGGCGGTCATTCCGTGTTTCTATTGCGTGGGTTGGTTGGGTTTCATAAGTGTCAAGTTTTTTCATAATTAAGTCATGTTTTGCTGCATTGAAAAGCACAAAATAATTATCAAACACATTAATTTAGCATTCTCTTTCTTGTAGTGTACACGTTGGCTCTGCTGTTGCTTCGTAGTTTGCTCTGTAGTCCCAACTGCTGCAGTAAACCTCTACGAAATGTCAAATCAACGGTAAATCCTAAGTATTTATAGTTCTTCCTTGAGTTATTACTGTTTCAAGGAATTATTTTTTTATAAACAGTGATTTCTGTTTGTAGTGCTTCGTGCTCAAGCGACATTTCAGTCGACCTTAGTGAACCTTTTCAAAGTATGATACTGAACAAGCGTTTTGCATACTGATATGACTTTGATAACGCCCTAAAAGAGTTCCAAAAAGTATGGAAGAGTGATTTTATCATTTCTCAGACTACGTGCACTCATTACATCCACGCAGAAGGCAGGTTGCTGAAGGATGTCAGGTTCAAATACCTGTTTGTTGCTTTTCATTGTACATTTGGTCATAAGCGGAAATCAGAAGGTTTGTAAGTGAACCAAAAATCGTGAGAACTTTAGCTAATATGTGACGTTTAAGGTCTAAATTCCTTAATTGTCAATCAAAGTTCCGTGTGTGGAGATGGCATGACAAACTTATTTTGTAAACAGTTTTTGATACTATCTGTATTTATTTTGGTTAAATTTCACAGCTTGTACATTCACTATGAGATTGTTGTATTTTTGTTTATGTGTGTGACATTAATTATTACAGGCGCTATATATATATATATATATATATATATATATATACGCGCTGTTTTCACTTTCCGTTCATTGTACACTAGCACGGCTCTCGCCGCTATACATTACCAAATACACTTTATACATACCCTTGTTATTCTCATCTGCTTAGTGGATATTATTCATAATAATTAATACGTATGTTATCTACTTTATAGACTGCAGCCACATACACATACTGACCTTCGGATTATCATGATAAATGGAATATTAAACGAACCAAAATTGTGGTAAAGGACCACCAGATCAAATCGAATACGGACAAGTAGCTGTATTAAGTAACGTTCTTATATTTTTATTGTATTTATTGCATTTAACTGATATATTTCAATATGAACTCTTTGATATCTGATAACCTTGTTAATATTTTGAAATAATATATTGGGTGGTCCACCACACGTGTAAGACTGGAGACGGAAGGATATGTCATCAAATCCTACAAGATGCTCCAGAATCATCCATGTAGTAGTTGATGGATAGTTTGTGATTCATGGACAAGAAGATTATCGTCGGAAGAAAAAGAGAATTTAAAGCCAGTCATTTTGCAGTCGCAGTCAACTGATGAAATTATAGAATGTGTCAAGGAGAGAACTGGTAAGGTGGTCACTGTTGTTGATGTCAAGTCTATGAAAGCTGAACTCTTCACAGGTAAGTGTATAAAAGTATATTTCAGGTTGTTGTACGCGTAAAAATGTTATGGATTTGCTGCGACAGAAAGGTGAAGTTAGGGAACATTTAGAAAATGGATATGTAACGAGAATATGTTTCAGTAGTTATGACCACATGCACTTGTACAATGAATATCCGGAAGTTGTTTGCATTGATTCTACTTATAATACCAATAATAAGAAGTGATTATTGGGTAAAATCCAGATCAAAGTAAATAGTAAAATTTTTAAAGTCGCTTAACTTATTACTATAGTCAGTTATATAGTGACTCTATATTCGCCTGTAAATAAAGATTTTCCTTTGATTGACAAAACTGACCAAACCAGAAATAAATAAGACAGTAGTGAAATATACTTGATGGAAAATGAATCAGAGCACAAATGGGGACGACACTCAATCACCTAGTAACCAACATACAGATTGATAGCTAAGTATAATTTGTCTGTATCAGAAGTATTTTGGTTTTGAAGCTCACTATTGTAATATTTATGACAACAATGAGTATATCAAACAATATTTTCAGACAAAATAACCATTTTCATACACCTTTACATATATTTTGGAAGAAGATATCTTAAGACTATCTTTCAAAAGAACGGCTACCCAATCAACATCAAAAGATATCAATCCAATGCATCAAGCCGAACCAAAATGATGTAGAGAAACCATCAAACGGAATATTTAACAATATATATAAAAGACATAAGAAATTATAACGACATTATTGGGGCCGTTCGGAATAGTTATAGCACACAACCTTGCCTAAAAGAAACAAATCGTTTTACTTATGAACACTTTGTGACTACTTAATGTGATACTTCCAGTGGTGCTATATACTGTTCCTGTATACGTTCAGAAAGCGGACGGAAATGACTATCAACGTCAATTGTTACTCACATAATTCTTCTCATATGCGTTACATAATACTATGTCATTTAAGTACAAAGCGATGATACTTATAATAGGTATAACTGTTTATAACTAAATATTAACAAGTTATATAATATTCATAAATGGATTAACGCTTAATTGCTTGTACCTACATTTTATAAACAACTACAAACATCCATGTTCATCATCACCACAATAAACGAGGTGAACCATATGTAATGTTTTAGAGCTTATTTCCTTGAAAACTTAATCTGCGACCTATTTTATAACTTGAAAAATGGCGAATCTTACTTGCTTGAGTTTGTATTATTGCAAATAACCTAATTAGGCTTACTAAACAGTCACTAAGCTGGTAAGCAAATAATACGTCAAACTGCAAATAAATTGGAATAAAAACTATGTAGCAACCATAAACAATACAAAAAGGTACGTGGGATGGAAAAAACATGTTAATAGTTGATAAATAACGACACAAAAAATCCACGAGAATATGTTACACGTGCGCGAAAACCCATAACCTTACGGCCGTACTGTGCCGATAATGAATCTTCCTGGTATTTAAATTTTACGCGTCACCTACATTTTTTATTTGTGATCCGGTCTAACAAAACTTGCAAAACCAGAAGGTGTGGTTTAGAATACCATAGAACTTGAATCTAGTTGCAATTCATACTCATGAGAAAAATTCACAACTAACAGCAGCAATTCACTGCACTCAAATGCAAAGTTTGTTTTAAAATCATAAATATTTTAAGGAGCGTTGCATTTAAAACCACACGACATCAAGAGCCTTTAATGGCAAATAAAAGTCAGTGTGGCGGTCCCCATCTAATAAAAAATACTTTGTGTTTTTAGGTAGCATTAAGAGTAGCTTGATTGAGGAGTAGAAATAGAACAATAGAAAGTGCGAGTCGACGACCCAGCAAGCTCACACAATAAACTTATGTTTATTAACGTACAAATTCGACTGTAATCAGAAATAACGCATATCTCGAAAAAATTTATCCTAGGATCGAGACAAAACCAGATAGTTCAACACGTAACACCAGCGAGACAACCTTTGAGTGGTGACAGAGTGAATCTGAGAAAACTCAACTTAATAGGGTCGAAAGATGTGTCACCTTCAATTTCAATGATCTGCCCATAAATTGTGGTCTTTCCTCGAATTTCGAACTGTTCATGTCAAATATTATCGTGAATTTAAAGTGAGGACACTTTGCTTAAGATATGAGAATATATTCTTTCGGGATGGTATGTCGTTACATTAATTGGTTAGTGAGAAGATTATTTGGTGTTGAGGTGTTTTTTGTTTTCGCATGCTTCTTCTCTGAAAATGCCAGAACCTGTACTATATAAATAATCAGACTTCTAAGAGCTGATGAAAATCCTGAGCATAGTGAACTAAGCATTTGATCAGTATGACCTCACTCCGTATATTATGATGTGGAGCATTTTTTTTTAAATTTACGAAGAAAATGGATCACAGCTTATAATACAGTCATAAACACCACGTTAGGTATAACTTCATAGCAAACAGTCCATTAAAGAAAGGGAACCTCAATGCTAGTTTGCTTTCTAGCGGTTTCAGTCTACAGCTAAATATAAGGTTGTGATAATGAGGCGATATATTGAAAATATGCCAGGCCGGTAATTCTGTTCGTGGAATTTGCTCTAACGTGCAATGTTTTCTGATTATCATTCACTGAAAAATCGGAAAATGAAATATATACGTACATCTAGTAAACGAAAACCACTGGTACAAACCTCAGTGAACTCTGTGGCTTGTGTATTTGTCAAGTCATAAACCATTATGCTGACAAAATCTAAACAGTAGTACGTTTGCAAAGACCACCTCTGAATCAATTTTCCCCATTTCTTGTCAACAAAATTACAAGGATTAGAAACTACCTGAAATGGCTTTTTTGGCAAAGCATTCAATTTAAGCAAACTCAAGAATAAACGAAGTGTATTTTTGAGGTTGAGCGGAAGCTCGGTATAGACTTTTTTTCTGCAAGCGGTTGTATTACATGCCCGGTTTGATAATGAGGGGACAATTCTGACCTTTACTTATCTATCCTAGCACTGTCTGCTTTGCGATCATGTTAGAAAGTCTGTAGAATTATGATCTTCTACGATATTAGCGCTGCTCTAATAATAGACCTAATCCTAGAATTGTAGATTTATTATGATGTAACTGCCTAATCTATAAGATCTTACGCGGAATTCACATCAACATCTACACCGACTCACTGCATCGTTACAATTGCCAATACATGATAGAAAGCAATCTTAGGCTGAGAATAGGACAATATATTTAATATAAACAAAAGATATAAGGTAAAATTCAGGAGGGACCACGCCTGCATGGTCGAGCCATGCCATAAGATTAACACCGAATAATACAATTCTTTCTCCCCGCCTTTTCTATTCTTCTGTATTTCTCCACGTTAAATGTTTAATGTCTATTTCTCATATTGTCTCGTTGTAGGGCCCAATGCCACTACAGGTCCATTATCGGGAGGCCGTAGTTTGCACCTATGCACTCTTACTACATTTGACCATCAGTGTGCTCGGACAACAAATCA